CCCACCCACCCAGACTATTATATGACTTTTTTGCCATTTTAATGAATACGAAGCATTATCTTGTTTAGTTTGCATTTTCCACGTTCCTAGGTTGAGCATCTTCTCATAGACACTTTCCATCTGTGACTTGACTATTTATACCATTGCCTCTCTCTCTCTCTCTCTCTCTCTCTCTCTCTCTCTCTCTCTCTCTCTCTCTGTCTGTCTCTCTGTCTCTGTCTCTGTCTCTCTGTCTCTCTCTCTCATATTTTTTATAGGAGTCCATTATATATTCTAGAAACTATTCGTTTGTTTGAGATGTCAGCAGAGGGCTGAAAGATGACTCAGCAAGCATTTGGTCTCCAGAATTCATACAGGAAGGAGAAACCAACTCCCCGACCTCTACATGCACACCATGGCATGAATACCCTGAATGCCACAAATGCCATGGTATATGCATATAGGCATGCACGCGATAGATAGATAGATAGATAGATAGATAGATAGATAGATAGATAGATAGATAGATAGATAGATAGGAGGTAGGTAGACAGACAGATGGTTTATCAAAAGAAGAAGAAGAAGAAGAAGAAGAAGAAGAAGAAGAAGAAGAAGAAGAAGAAGAAGAAGAAGAAGAAGAGGTGGGAGCAGAATTTTACCAACTGTCCTGGTAGTTGGTTTTTTGTTTTGTTTTCTGTGTTCCATCTTGACAATAAGCTAGAATCATTTTGGAAGAGGGAATTTTAATCGAGGAAATGCCTCCATAAGACTGACTGTAGGCAAGTCTATGGGGCATTGTCTTGATTAATGATTGATGTGTGAGGGTCCAGCTCACGATGGTGCGACTCTCAGGGCAGGTGATTCTTAAGTTGTATAAGAAAGCAATCTGAGAAAGCCAATAAGCAGCATTTCTCAATGGCCTGGTGCCTTGAGTTCCCGCTCTGATTTCCCACAGTGATGGATTGTGACCTGAGAATTATAATATGTAATAAATCCTTTCGTCCCAACATTGCCTTGGTCACATGTTTAGCATAGCAACAGAAACCCTGAGACACCAACACTTTAAAAACTGTCAGATATCAGTAACCTTTTTGAAGTGTAACATTCAGTGAAAGAAATATTACTGGAAGAAAAAAAAATGTGTTCTCTTGATTTTCCGACCTAAAATATAGTTATGCACTCAAGACACCGAGTTCAATGGAACAGCTCCTGCCAAGTACGCATGAGGTGTTGGGGTCAAGCCCATCACCAAAATAAATTTTACATGAAAAAAATGATTAAATATGTTTTATCTTTGATCCTTTTTCTAGACTTCACACCCCAAAAGCCTACTCAGTTCCCTGAGTGCCCAAGACTGTTTCGTCATATAACTCATTCAAACTTAAAACAGTAGATAGAACATTTTCCTTCAGAATTTTAAACTTTCCATGTCAGTCAAAGCCTTCACACACATGTCAAAGAACATAACAAGTGGAACATACAAGATGGGAAATTTGGAAGATGTCGAGCGAAAGGGTATGAGTAGTAGAAAGAAATGGCGGCAATGTTCTGTCACTCTCCCCAAAGGGCCGAGAAGGCTGACTGTCACTAGAGACAGAAGGGAAAATGGAGCGAGCTACCTAGACAAGGGCCCTGACTGCTGGGAGACAGGGAGCCTGTGGCAACCTCCCAGTGTCCCTCCGTCCTTCCATGTCCTGCTGAAAGCCAGAAAACACAGGTGGCTTTGATGCCCATGCAGCGTCCCTTCCAGAGATGAGAAATGATCTCGAGAGGCAAAATGAAGCCACCCAACACCCTAGTGTGGCCAAGTTACATCAGATCTCACCCCCATTTAGTCAAAGCAGGTAATTTAAGGAAGCGTTGAAACACTGGGCAAATATTTTTCTTCCTTCCTGCATGTAAGTTTAATCTATGGCTTGTGAAGCAAGAACTCCACTCAAAACCTTACAAAGCCTACACTACAATCTTCCAACCCAACAAAAAGTCACTTAATAAAGATCAGGACTGTTCAGTAGAAGGGAGAAGGAAATACATCCATAAACACAATTGAAGAACAGCATAATATTACGATGATAAATAAAAAATTTAAAAAAAGCTTTAAACTGCAGAGGGGACCCAGGATGGGGATAAGCAAAGAGTTCACAGAGAATACAGGTCGTCAGCATGCTTCCTAGACTGAAATCCCATTACGACCCTGAGAACCCCGGGGTCGCAGCTGGCCATGCTTCTCTACAACCCCCACCCCAGTAAGTAACCAGGGTCAGAGCAGAGGTAGGATGGTAAAAGCCCCCAGACTGTCATAGAGGAAACATCACGAATCTGGAACGTTACAAATTAAAACACTCAGCCACCCAAGTTAAATGTCTTGTTCTTTAACGACCCCAACCTACAGGAAACACGGGTTTTTACAATGATTTTTTTTTAAATCAATGGTTTAAACTCCACTTTTCATGAAGCTCATCCCTTTCTCTTGGCTACAACCCCAAATCCTGACAGAAGAGATCTGAGGATGCTCTTCATTCCAGCAAATTATGAGAACCGGCGTCCCAAGACAGGAGGCAGAAAAGAAAAAAGAAAGATCAAGACTATTGAATAACACACAATTGCTTGTAAACCTAAGCGGTCCGCTACAAACGTCTAATGTTAAGTGTAACTTAAAGGACTGTTTGAAAAGAGTAATAAGGACAGGGAAGGGGAAAGCTGATAACCACATGGATACATGGGCCATAGAGCCTCAGCTCCTACCCTTGAGCTTGCTGGTCTGCCAGGGAGAAAGATCACTGGGTAGAAAGTAGCCACACGAGATTTCAGATGGAAGACCTAAAGGTTCAAACTGGGAGAGAAACGGCAGAGCAGCAGGACCCACATCAGCGGAAAGCTCCCGGATGTGGCAAAGGACAGTTACAAATGGAAGTCACCAGTGAAAAAATGAGCTGTTGTTTGTTATCACAGAAGAACCCTAGAAAGCGGAGGGTGAGGGTACACACCTGGAATGCTGTAACACTGGGGAGGCAGGGGCAGGAGGAATTCAAAAGCCAGCCTGGGCTACATGAAACTCGGTCCCAGAATAAAATAAAATAAATCTCCTAGAAACGGAGAAAAGGAAAAGGAAATGCAACTCTCAGACAGGCTGGCACACATTGTCTTAAATGGAGAAAGAGTAGAGGGAAGCTTGCCATCATGCATAAGGTCCTACAAGGGCACATGATGACTGGCAGAACTGACAGCATGTCCCTTCTTTAAACTTTGTTTTATTTTATGTGTAGAGATGCTTTGCCTGAATGTATGTCTCTGTACCACACGTGTGCTTGACATCCACGGAAGAGGGCATCAGGTTCCCCTGGAACCGTAGTCACAGATGGTTGTGAGCCACCATGTAGGTGCTGGGGATTGAACCCAGGTCCTCTGGAAGAATGCAGACAGCATTCTTCACCCCTATGCCACCTCTCCAGCCCTATAGCACACCCCCTTTGGTTAATCTCTACCAAACTACCAAGTCAGAAAAAGCCATCCACACTCACTGTAAGCATTTAAACTCAGCATTTGGTAGAAATGCTCATCTATAAACAAAACAGAGGAAAGTGACCCAGTTAATCACATAGACATATACTAACTATGAGCGAGCACAAACCCAGAGCGTTAGTGCCGTGGGATTGTGTCTTCAGCTTTGAGCCCTTCACTGAGCAATGGCTGAGTATGCAGCTGGCTTCTTCATGCTCTTTTTTGGTGTTTTTGTTTGTTTGTTTGTTTTCCGACACTGGGTTTCTCTGTGTTGTTTTTGTGCCTGTCCTGGATCTCACTCTATAGACCAGGCTGGCCTCAAACTCACAGAGATCCACCTGGCTCTGCCTCCCAAGTGCTGGGATTAAAGGTGTACGCCACTACCACCCAGCCTCCTTATTCGTTTTTTGGATGGCTAGGAAAAGGAGCCAAGATATCAATGGGAGGATGAAGATCAAGGGGCTATAACAATAAGCCAAACTTCACAAAACTTTTCATTGAAATTAACATAAAAGTCCAACACTTAAAAGTTTTCATGCATCAGAATAAAGTTATTAAGAAGAAATGACCAAGCTCCAATTCAACTGGGTGGGGTTAATTTTTTGCTTCTATTTTTTTCTGTCTTCCAGAAACCTACCAAGTAGATAACAGGTGGATTTTCTTAGAGAAAGAAAGTGTGTAAATTTATAAGAACAAGGAGTATGAGAAAAGAAGCATACAGAATAAGAGATATGAGCACTCTGGAACTCAGAAAGTACCTAATAACTAAGCTGGCAAAACCCATCTCCAAAATCAATGCCTAAGAACAGGAACTGGGATAAGAATAGCCAACTCATGCCCCGGGGTCCTGGCAGGACCCAGACTAGGTTCTCCTCGCATACTGCAGAAGAGAGTGTCGTAGCAAGGTGAACAGAGAACGTGGGTGGACATCGTGTAACAGCACGCCTCCCCTTATTCATGGTTCTGCTTTTAGGGGTCTCAGTTCCCTGCAGCTAATCTTGGTCCAACAACATGACAATGAAAAACTCCAGAAATAAAGAACTCATAAGTTTTTAATTGCACACTGTTTTGAATATCATGCCCCGTCTTGCTCCATCCTGTCTGGGAAGCAACGTATCCCTGGTAGCCATACCACCTACACAGCTGCCACCCCCAGTCACTCAGTAGCCATCTAGGTATCAGATCAACTGTCATTCATATAAAGGAAGGAAGACTGAAGTTTTTCCAACATACTTGGACACTTGTCTCATGAGATCATCTTCGATTTTAGTCCCATTCAATACTCAAAAAAGGATGGCATCCATTACTATTGTCTGCTGTGCCAGCGACGTAGACTGCCCAGGCCATTGTATGATCTCCAAATCCACTGAGCTACCCCCAAAACAATGCATCACTTCTCAAAATACCTGTGCTCCCCACTCTGAATCATTTGAGGTCACGGGTGGTAACACCACGTGACTGCCTCTACTCATGGACTAAATCTACGTCACTTTTCTCACCATTTAATTCGTCCTTTTCAGTTGTCTACACTGACCCTTCAGAGGCTAGAGGGGAAGCTTCCCACTGCCCCGGCAAGAGGAAAGATCGAAGTGCTCACCAGGAGAAGGAAGATTTGGTTATGGTAGGAGTGAATTTTTTTTCTCTGAAATTGGGGGCAGGGGGATGCATTTTATTTTTGCTGTCACATCTCAAACAGCACAAGGTACGGCCCCAGTGTGTGATACATGCTTAGTTAAAACAAGCAAACAAAGGTTGGGGCTAGGGAAATGGCTCAGTGTATAAAGTGGTTTGTTGAACAAGCATGAGAACCTGAGCTCAGATCCCCAGACTCATATAAAAGGCACAGCAGCAGATGTCTGTCACCCCCAGGACTGGGACTTGGGGACTGGCTGATGCTTGGGACTGCTAGTCAACCAGTCAAACTAAAAAGGTGAGCTCCAGGTTCGGTGAGCGACTCTGTCTCCAAAAGTGAGGTGAGAGTGACAGAGGACGACACCTGACATGGACCTGGGGTCTCCGCACACGCAGGAACACACCCACGCATATACCACAAACAAATGAAAAGGACAAAAAGAGGATTAACATTGTGTATGCAGAAGATGGGTAAATATAAATACGGTCTGCGGCTATCTGCCCTTTCAGGCATCCCTTGGGAATCCTGGAATAGACCCCTGGGGGCAAGAGGGACTTCTGTAATAGAACAAGATGCTGAGCAGGGCTATTTCTGTTCACCCAAGAGGTCCGAGGAGAATCAGACAACGACTAACCAAACGTGTGATAAAAGTGACTCGGGAGCTGGGTGTGGTCAGGCACACCTACAGTCCCAGCTCCTTAGAAAGCTAATGCAGCGAGTTTCAAGTTCAAAGCCCGCTTGAATTATAGAGCAAGTTCAAATACAGCCAAGGCAACTTAGTGAGGGACCCTGTCTCAAGTCAAAATTTAAAAGGGAAAAAAAGGAGCTGAGGGGATAGCTTTAGTCTTGAAAGCATGAGGACATGAGGTTACTCTCCAGAAGCCAGGTAAGAAGTGCTAAGCATGGCTGTTCATGGTTGTTATCCCAACATGTTGAAGACAGGCAGATTGCTGGGGTTCCCTGGACAGCCAGACCACCCCCAGTGACGTCCACACCAGTGAAAGACACTGTCTCAAAAAGAAAAAAATAGTGGATGGCATCTGAGGGACATCTGAAGTTGTCCCTCTGATCTTCACACACAGGCTCCATATTCTTGTGAACACACACACACACGCACGCACGCACGCACGCACGCACGCACGCACGGTGGGAAGAGAGCTGGGTATATAGCTCAAGGTTTGAAGCTCTGGTCTCAATTACAAAGCAAAAAGTGACTCCAGAATTGAAAATAAACTTGACTCTGCTGACCAGTTCGAGAACCTCTGAAATCCTTTGATTCTAGATTTTAAACTTACATCATGTGTCCAAAGGACTACCGTAAGGTAACTTCTGAGTGTCATTCCCAGGAGTGGTCCATAGGTGGCACTGTAAACTGTTATTCACCCCTTCTGGACGGCAATGAATGTGTCCAGCCATACATAACAAGAATATGTCTTGTTATATATAACCAGGAAAGAACACCTGGCTTTGATTTCAAATATTAATTCTTCCCAAATCTGTTTTCTTTTACTTAGAAAGTGTACTTTTTAAAGCAGCATACAAAATAATAGATTTCTTTTTTTTTTCTTTTCTTTAAAGATTTATTGTTGAAGAATATTATTTTAAGGTGTGTTACTTTTGTTTATGTTGCATTTGTTTAACTCTGTGAAGCTGTGTTACTGTACCTGTCTAAAACACCTGATGGTCTAATAAAGCTCTGAATGGCTAATGGCAAGGCAGGAGAAAGGATAGGCAGGGCTGGCAGGCAGAGAGGATGAATAGAAGGAGAAATCTGGGAAGAGGAATTAAAAAGGAGCTAGGAGCCAGGGAAGGAGGAGGACATCAGGGGCCAGCCGCCCAGCTACACAACCAGCCATGGAGTAAGAGTGAGATTTACAGAAGTAAGCAAGTGGGGAAAGCCCAGAGGCAAAGGGTAGATGGGATATTTCAAGTTAAGAAAAGCTGGCTAGAAACTAAGCCAAGCTAAGGCCGAGCATTCATAAGTAATAAAAAAAAAAGAATATGTCTAATTCTTTTAAATCACAAATATTAAATCCACAGAGTCTGCATACATAGAAATCATAGTTCTAAGGACATGAGTCGCTTGGTCCTTTAGTTCATCATGCTTCTCAGTTCTTCTGCCTCCTGCCTTACTCATAATAAATACCCATCATGCTTCTCAGTTCTTCTGCCTCCTGCCTTACTCATAATAAATACCTCAGCTATAGTACTTAGCATCAGTGTGTTTGGTCAGTTTTGGATCGCAATGTAAGTTGAATGGCAAAGCTGTGGCCCATTCACATCCCAGGCATCCTGCTTCATTGTGAATTATTAATAAATAATAATAAATAAAAACAAAATAAACTGTTATTCCCCCACAAGTTTAGACCAGTGTCCCAAATAAAGTTGAATTTGGCCCCTTTTCTCACAACTAATGGTGACTTATGCTTCATTCTTTAGAACTGTGGTCCTCAACCTTCCTAAGGTTGTGACCCTTTAATACAGTTCCTCATGTCATGGTGACTCCCCAGTCACAAAATTATTTCATTGCTACTTCATAACTGTAATTTTGCTACTGTTATGAATTGAAATGTAAATAAATATCTGATAGGTGGCCCCTTTGTGAGTTGAGAGACGCTGCTTTAGAGGCTTGCGACTTGATATTCCAGACACAGCTCACCACTCCTCAGACTGTAAGCTTAATTTCTTCATTCCCCCGTCTGCCTGAGATCCACAAGGTCCATGGAGAATTCAGGCAGCCCACCAAGGAATGCCACCATCAACTCCATAGATTCCAAAAATCCTACCCCTCCATTCAAGTCTCAAATCCAAGCAAAATCCTAGTATTAGGAACCCATAAAATGTCAACTAGTAGGGGGACAATTTGAACAAAACATTATATACATGTATGAAAGTCCCAAACTATAAAAATTGTCTAAGCCAAATCCACTAATTTCTGGAATATTTTTTTTAAGCCTACTAGGTGTTTTCTGTTACATGACAGTAGTCCACTGGGGAAAAAAAAAACACAGAACAACCATTTTTGGGGTCTTAGGTTCAGTGTAATTGACAAGCAATGTTAGTAAGCTGAAAAGGAAAACGTCCATGTCATCATCACAATCCAAAACAATAAAAACCACGTCCTTTCCATGACCGTACTTGCAATCGTGATGCCATTCTTGCCCATCCTGGTCAGTTACAAGCATGGTCCTCTAGTATCTGACCCACACTGATGGTTTTGTTTTAGTTTTGTTTCTTTGGGTTTTTGTTGTTGTTGTTGTTGTTGTTACTGTTTCTGTTTTGTTTTGTTGTGAGTTTTTTGGTTTGGTTTTGTTTTGTTTGGGCCTTTTGTTTTTATGTCCTCTGTGCTGACTTGATCTGTATTCATATTTCCCACTATGCTAATCCTTTGGGTGGATGGACGGATGGACGGATGGTTGGATTTTTCTGAGGCAAGCTCTCCAAATGTAGCCCAGGCTGACCTGGAACCTACAATTCTCCTGCCTCAACCTCCTGTACTCTGGGCCTCATGCCTATCTCCATCTAATTTTATTCATGCATCAACTTTCTAGGCCCAATCTCTTTCCTTCTCTGAGAAGGAAATAGAAAACAGAATATTTAGAGGACTTGCAGAAACATCTTCAAAGTTAATTGTCCTCCAAATAAAACATTTCTGCAGCTTCACACGCATTCTCCAGAGTCTGAACGTCATCCACACAAGCCAACAGCCACCTCAACCCAAATCACGAAATGGACACTTACAGAGAAATATCCTGCATATGTACATACAAATACAGATATGCTTACATTTCTTTTCACAGTCATGACACATAATCCCTTTACTTGCTTGCAGAGGTGGGGAGGAGCAAGGGTCCTTGTATTCTACTACTCTAGGCAAATTGCAATGCTTGCAGAAAAGGAAAGGAAGGTTTAAACATGGTGGATTCTAACTTAGCATGCAAGCCCCATTCAAGCCAAGTGCATGAAGGCTGTGTCCAAAATACAGATGTGGCCAGACGTGGTGGTACATGCTTATGATCCCAACACTTGGAAGACAAAGGTAGGAAGATCAGGAGTTCGAGGTCACCCTTGGCTACCTAGAAAGTTCAAAGTCAGGCTGATTGATATGAGGCCTTGATTCAAAAGTGTGTGTGTGTGTGTGTGTGCGTGTGTGTGTGTGTGTGTGTGTGTGGCTTCTTCACACCAAAATGAGGAAGAAGCCTCTCATGGTGATGTAACAGCAACTCAAGGAGAGCCTTAGAGATGACTCAGTAGTTAAGAGCGCTAGCTAATCTTCCAGAGGCCCTGACTTTCATTCCCAACACACACATGGCAGGCTGTCTATAACTTCAGATTCAGGGAACCTAATGCCCTCTTCTGGCCTCTGTGAGCACTGCACACACCGTACACAGAAAAATATATGTAGACAAAACACCTGCACATATATGGGTAGGTGTATAGCACACGCCTTTAATCCCAGCACTTGGGAGGCAGAAGTAGGTGGATCTCTATGAGTTTGAGGCCAGCCTGGTCTACAGAGTGAGTACCAAGCTAGGCAAGGCTATATATTGAGACCCTATCTCAAAAAAAAAAAATTAAATAAAAACATGACTCAAGAGAGTATAGGGGGCTTTGTTTCTAAGGTTAAAAAAAAAAAAAAAAAAAGCAAGGGCTTGAGCTTCAAAAAAACCTGCCGTGAGATTCAGAGGAAAGAAGTAAAAACCAAAGCATGCTACAGAAACTGTTTCCCAGAGCAGCTAGGTCTCTAGTCCCCTCCAGAGAGGAGATCCTAGGTCTTGAAAAAGTCTGCTCAAAGGAGCCTATGAAATTTGGGGCCGTTAATATGTTCATAGTCTGACTTACCGAGTTAAAAAAAATAAGGCCTGAGTATAACTATAACAACTTAGGTGTCATAGGCCAGGAGTCGGTGACATCATATCACATGGAGTGCATCTTTGCCAGATCTGACTTATCACAACCAGGTACCCTCAACTGGGACATTGAAACAAGAAGAGCTGATTGCTCACAGTTTTGGAGGCTTGAGGACTTGGCAGGTTCACGGAAGAGCTCGCCTCAGTGCGTGCAGACAGCTGCCTTCTTGCTGGGTCTTCACACGGCAGGGAAAGAGCAGGCTCTCTGTCATGTTTTTATAATCCCACTATGACCTCATCTAAACCTCATTATCTCCCAGGGACTCCATCTCCAAATACCATCACACAGGAGGTATGGCTCCAATCTATGAGCTGCCAGAGACATGATTCCAGTCCACAGAAAAGTGCAATTTTATTGTATTTCACATTATTGACTAGCTTTGGTAAACAAAGAATATGGAAACCTTCATATAAATGTATTTTTTGATTGCTTCTGTTAAAAAAGAAGAAGAAGAAGAAGAAGAAGAAGAAGAAGAAGAAGAAGAAGAAGAAGAAGAAGAAGAAGCCAAACCACTAGGCAAGAAATCCACCCACTGTTTTTATTTTTGTTTCTCCATGAAACAATTTATAGAAACTTTTCTGGTACACACACACACACACACACACACACACACACACACACACACACACCACAAAGGATTTACCATAGATTGTACATGAGGCCAAATCACCATGCAAGTGAGATAGACTAGTTGGTTACGTTGGAGGGTTGGAGTGTGGGTGTCAAGATAACTTCAGGTTACTCAGGTAGAACTGCAGAGCCAGCAGCAATTCAGCAGTGGCAACAGAGGAACCCAGGGCGCCATGTTTTCCTTCGCAGCCATGTCCGGTGACAATTCGTAATTGTGAGAACTCGGGTATCCTGCTTGTCCCGCTCATCTGTCATCAACCAGCATCTCACTGTATCTTTACCCCACAGCTAACACAACTTCTAACTTCTACAACCTCTTGTCATCCATATCCTGGCCCCCATCTGACAACTCTGGCTCCGCTTCCACTACCATCTACGTACCTTACACTTATGAACTGTCAGTATAAACACTTGAGATTTAGCTGGTAATATCTAGGCTAACCCATAAGCCGCTAGACCCAGTGTCTCCTATTTGAGCACAGAATGACCCGGAAGGCTTATGAAAATATAAGCTGCCCCCCAAAGATTTGACTCAGTACACCTCCAGTCAGGGTTCGATGATAGGCATTTCTAACAAATTTCCAAGTGATGTTTGTAAGCAAGGGCACAGTGAAACCAATGAACTAGACCACTCACTCCATGGGTAGAAATAAAGGTTTATTGGGTAGTTCAAACTGCCAGGACCGTCTCTTGTGGATGGAGCACAGAGAGGGCAGCAGAAACCTGACAGGAACCGTGCCAGGTTTAAGGAGACAGGCTGCAGTGGGAGGAGCCTGGGAGCAAGAAGAGCTGGGAGTTAGAGTAGCAGAAGATGGCTGTGGCCCAGGACAGCCAGGGACTTTGATCTGTTGCAGGCGTGTTTAATGGGGAGCTAGGTGCTCGGCTGCTCATTGCTCGAGGTAGTTAGCTGTAGGGGTGGATAAAGGAAATAATGGCTTTTCCTGGCGAACAGAAACCCATTTCCCAGGCTTTCTGAGAAATGCTGGGTTTAGGCTTTTTTTTTCTTTTTCTTTTTCTTTTTCTTTTTTTTTTTTTTGTTTGTTTGTTTGTTTTTTTTCAAGACAAGGTTTCTCTGTGTAGTTTTGGTGCCTGTCCTAGATTTCGCTCTGTAGACCAGGCTGGCCTCGAACTCACAGAGATCCGCCTGGCTCTGCCTCCCAAGTGCTGGGATTAAAGGTGTGCTTTTACTTAGCACTTACTGGGCACATCTTTATTGTGCTAAGCACTGGATATACAAAAGTAGACAGCTTTAACTTGTAGTAACTGAGGACTTTGCTAAGTAATTTTGATAGCATAAAGTCAAGACAATTATTCTGGTGCCCTTTTTGAATAGAAAGACTCTTCAAAAGAAAGCTACAGACATTCTCAAAAGTCTCCACTCGGATCATATTGTGAAATGCGGTGTGGAAGGATAAAAGAAGAAAACACATCCAAATAACCACTTCAATTGGGAATGGTGCTGTATACCTGTAATCCTAGCGTGCCAGAGAATCAGGAGTTCAAGGCCAGCCTCAGCTACACAGTGATTTCAATGCCAAAGTAAAAGTCTACTTTATATAAAAGATATACGTATTTAGTTATCAAGAACTTGATGTAAAAGAGTTATTGAACCAAGTGTGGTGGTATTCACCCTTGATCTCAGCACTTGGGAGGCAAAGGCAGATGGATCTCTGTAGATGTAACCAACCATCTTATTAAATAAAAAACACAGAGCCAATTCAGAGCAGAGAGCCAAGAGGTCAGAACTAAGAGCCTCACTGCTTCAGTCAAGAGAGCTCTCCGAAAAAAGGGAGCTACTTCCTGTGTGTCTGTCTTTATAAAGACTTTTGGTTCTGCCTTCTCATTGGTTGTAAACCCATGCCTCGTCACTGCCTGTCTGTAAAGACTTCCAGGTCTTCTATGGTTGGGATTGAGATTAAAGGTGTGTGTCTCCAATGCTGACTGTATCCTTTTACACACAGAGATCTACCTAGCTCTGTCTACCAAGTGCTGGGATTAAAGGCGTGCGCCACCACCGCCACGCTCTTGCTATGGCTCTAATAGCTCTGACCCCCAGGCAACTTTATTTATTAACATACAATTAAAATCACATTTCAGTACAAGTAAAATACCATCACAGATCTCTGTGAGTTCAAGACCAGCCTGGTCTACAGAAAGAGTCCCAGATCAGCCAGGGCTACATAGTGAGACTCTGTTTAAGATTAATTACATAAATTAATAATTTTTTCAAGGATGAGTTATAAACTCTTCAGTATTCCAAATACTGGGGAAACCAAAATATATCAGGCTGAAAACCAGCTAACCTCTGGGTGCTCAAAATCCAGCTGCTTTCAAAGGACTGAAAAAAGTAAGCAATTATTTTTTTTTTTTAAATAAGGTCTCATGTAACCCAAGAAGGCCTCCAACTTGCCGCTTTGAACTTAACTTCTGATCCTCCTGCCCCCAACTGCCAAGAGTTGGGGATTACAGGCAGGTGCCACCATGCCCTTTTTTTTTTTTTTTTAACTGGGTCCTGGGGATTGAAACCAGGGCTTTGTGCATAGAAAACAAGCACTCTGCCAACTGAGCTACATACACCCCCCTTTCTGGAAGTGAGCATTTCTGAAAGGGAAAAGGGGTTCATCAGACCTGCTAGAGGCAGAAAACGAGCCAAACACATGCTGGACTTTTGATAAAGCTCATCCATAGTCAGCCTCCAGTGTGGATGCTCTGAAGTATATGCATTGTCTTTCCTTGGCAGACACGGGGAAGCAGCTCAAGGCCAGCTTCCCTCCCCAGTCTCCGGGGGCTGCTGTGCCTGCCCACTCCGCTGAGCTTTGGCTGTGTTTGGACTGTCGGAATTCATTGTATTGTTGTATTACATCGCCCTCTAGTGGCTTCACGTTTCTTTTCTTATCTCCCTTCTTTCCCTTCAGGCAGAATTCTTCGTTGGATCGCACAATGCTTTCTTTATACCTAACAAATGTCAAGCAAACGAACCGAAATGAATGACATGCATCCCACCTGATGACTGAGACTAGATGGTGAGCCTGTTTTCACCAGGAGAGTGAGCGTTCAAACAGCTTAGGCTCAGGTAGCTTAGGCCACTGTGGTTTTCTTTAAAAATCGATACTGTAAGATACCACTGCCTCTGCTATGGAGTGAATGAGGTTTGGTTTTGGGGGGTTGGGGGGGGTGGTTGAAACAATCTCATGTAGCCCAGGCTAGCCTCAAATTCGCTATGTATCAGAGGGTGACCTTGAACTCCTGACCCTCCAGCCCCTACTTTCAAGGGCTACGATTATAGGTGTGTGCCATCACATCTGGCTGCCCTGAATGTTTTGTGTACCCTGCCACCAAAGCTTTTACGTTGAAACCTCATCGAAAAGGTGGTAGTATGTGGAAGTGGGGCTTTGAGAACTAATGCTTATGTTCAGCTGTGAAAGCAGGACCGCCCACACCGAAATTTGTATCCTTGCATCAGGGATTCTCAACCTTCCTAATACTGTAACCTTTAATACAGTTCCTCATGTTGTAGTGACCCCCCCTCAACCATAAAATCTTTTCTGTTGCTACTTCATACCTGTAATTTTGCACTGTTATGAATTGTAATGTAAATATCTGATATGCGGAAGTCTTAGGTGACCCCTGTGAGAGGGTTATTTGGCCCCAAAGGGGTCACAACCCACAGGTTGAGGACCCCTGATGTAAAGGGGAAAAGAAAACATTAGGGTTTCTGTTCTGCCGTATGAGGACACAGGGAGGAGACAGCTACACATAGGTAAGCCAGGAATGGAGCTTCTCAAAGCACCCCCCACCATGCCAGCACCCTGAGCTTGGAAAAGAATTCCAGGGTAGGAGGAACAGGCTCTTAATTTAGCCAAGCTTAAATTCACTGTATAGCTGAAGATGACCTTGAACTTGTGATGCTCCTGCCTCCACTACCCTCCCAAGTGCAGGGATGGCAAGTGTGCACCATCACACCTGCTTTATGCAGGGCTAGAGCGTGAACTCGGGGCTTTGGGCATGCTAGACAAGCACCCTACCAACTGTGCCACATCCCCAGACCCCGATCTTGGGCTTTCTGCCCTCCAAGACGATGAGGACTAAATGTTGGTTGTTTCAACCACACCGTCCATGATGCATTGGTAAACAGCCTGGGCTGGCTAAAGCAGATTCTTGTGTAATCTCAAGGCAGCCCAGGGTAAATCTGGGGCCAGGACTAGGAGCACAAAGCTCCAAAACTGATGATTGTAAGTTTCCTATCGATAGCAGGTGCAGCCAGTTAGCGTGTTTAAAGGTGATCTCTGCTCCGAAATATCGTGCCTACCAGGGATGCCAAAGAAAGCCCTGGCATCTCAGTCATGTCTCATTCACTTCCTAAACAAGGCAACGATGTAACCTTATGGCTCATTAATCAGTTTTTGTCTCAGCTTGATATATTGTGGGGATTTGGGGGGTTTGGGCTTGGGTTTGTTTTGTTTTACATTATCTATTAAACAAGTGTGGTTTTGGTTTGTGTTTATTCTATATGTATAAGACTCACTGATTATCAATTTGGGGGGATGCAGGGGGTACAAGTGTAATATGCCCATGCCCTCTAGCTCAGTCAGGGTTTCAGTTGCTGAACTGATGAAACAATATGACCAGAGCAACAAGGGGAGGAAAGAGTGTGTTTGGCTTACTCTTCCACAGCACTAAAGTCAGGACAGGAACTCAAACAGGAACTCAGGGCAGGAACCTGCAGGCAGGAGCTGATGCAGAGGTCATGGAGCGGCGCTGCTCACTGGCCTGCTCCCTGTGACTGCCTCAGCCTGATTTCTTTTCTTTTTTTTATTTTTATTTCATTTTTTGTTTGTTTTTGTTTGTTTTTACATCCACTTGATTTCTTAAAGAACCCAGGGCTACCTGCCCAGGGGTGGCCCCACTTACAATGGGCTGGGCCCTCTCCCATCAATCACTTATTAAGAAAATGCTCTACAGGCTTTCCTAAAGCCTAATCTTAAGGAAGCATTTTCTCAACTGGGGTCCCCTTCTCTCAGATGACTCTAGCCTGTGTCAAAATTAGTCAGCACACGCTTCAAGTGTTTATAGTGTGAGGAGAAACCAGAATACACACATATTCTATACCATCAGTGCCACAAAGTGCTACAAAGAAGAATAATAAAAGAGCTTTAAGTATTCAAAAAAGAAAGAAGTCACTTTTGAAATAATTCTCCTCCAGTGTTTGACATTTGTCTTTCCTTCCTGCATGAAAACCACACAATGGCCAACAGACCACAGAAAAGTCAAGTGACCAGAACTGATGTCATCAGACCATACTGAAACCATGGATGAGGACAAGTCTTACTTCTGGCTTCAGGGAACAAAAACGTTACTGGATTTTAAACTAGAAGAAACACTCACTTGTTGCCAACTGGCTTTAAAAGACTTATCAAGGGCCATGTGGAAAGAAAAATTAGCTAAGGGTTTAGTGTGATGGTGAACTCCTGTAATCCCAGCACTTGGAAGGCTGGAGCAGGAGAATCACCGTGAGTTTCAACCCAGCTTGAACTACACAGTGAAACCTTGTGTCACAGATCAAGTGCAAGCACACACGCATATGCACAGATACACAGATACACACATGCACACACACATACACACACACACAGAGTGAGAGAGAGAGAGAGAGAGAGAGAGAGAGAGAGAGAGAGAGAGAGAGAGAGACGGGGACAGAGAGAGAAAGAGACAAAAAGGGAGAGAGAGAATTTTCGGGGATAATATACTTGAAAAAAAAAAACACAACTGTGGTTCCTTTGGGGCACTCTTGGCAGTATACAACCCAAGATGGTTGCAGGCCTATCAAGCTGAATTTACACTTCTGGAATACTAAAGACACTTTTCCAAAGAAGACATTGAAATGTCAGGGAAATGAAAAAAAAAAAAATACTTACTGTTTTATTAGTCACTGGAGAAATGTAGATTAAAAGAGATAGCATTACGTGTACATCTGTCAGAACATCTTTCAGTTGAAAAGATTGACAGCACCAAAGGTTAGCACAGAGACAGAACAATCAGAACTCTCAAACATTGTTGATAGGGTTATAAAATTATAGGGCATTTTGGAGAAAGGTCTATATGTTCTCATAAAGGCAAAAGTGCTTACAAAAATGATTGCCTGTGATCTGACAATTTCACTCCTAGATATTTACAACGGGGGGGGGGGGGGGAGCATTTGTCAACACAAAAACTTGTGTAATGCTTTATCTATTATATTCCAGAATGGAGACAACCCAGATATCTACAAAGAAGAAAACCAATAAAATGTCACTTATCTATATAGGATCGAAACCAACAAAAGAGTAACAAAAAAAATATGGATACACACAGAAACAGCAAGAAATTTCAGAACACTATGTGAATTGACAGAAGCCTACTCAAAAGAACATATTGTTAAGTTGCATTTATATGGCATTCTATAAAAGACAAATCTCTATGGCAGAGATAACAGGACTGGAGACATGGGGCAGAGGTTGAGAGCACCTGCTCTTCCTACAGAAGACCAGAGTTCAGTTCTCACCACCTGGAGCAGGAGGCTCACAACTGTAGGCAGAAGTTTCTGTCCCACCAGCAGCTCCCAAATAAACACACTGAGACTTATATTAATTACAAATGCTCAGCCAATAGCTCAGGCTTGTTACTGGCTAACTCATATTTAAATTAACCCGTATGTCTTATCTACATTCTACCACATGGCTTGGTACCTTTTCTAAGTTCAGCATGCTCATCTCACTTCTCCCTGCATCTGTTGGTGACTCCTCTCACTCCTCCCTTGTTCATCCCAGCATCCTTAGTTTAGTTGTCCCGTCTATACTTCCTGCATGGCTAACGGCCAGTCAGTTCTTTATTAACCAATGAGAGTAATACATATTCACGGTGGACAGAAGGATTATTCCACAGCACACAACTGTCTGTGATTCCAGCTCCAGGGCATCCAGTGCCCTCTTCTAGCCTCCTCATGCACTGGCACACATATGGCATAGTCACACACATATACACAAAAATAAAAATAAATCTTGTGGGATAGGGCAAGTGTGTTGGTTACATGCCTTTAATCCTAGCCCTCGAGAAGCAGAGACAGGCAAATCTCTGTGATACTCAGGCCAGCCTGGTCTACATAGTGAGTTCTAGACCCTATCTCAAAATTAATTAAATAATTTTTAAAAGAAAAGAAAAATTAAAATAGTTGTTTCCTCTATTTTGGGGGTACTATGGTCTTTCCAAAATTCATATGTTGAATATGATCATCAATGCCAAATATTAGCAGATGAACTTTTGGGATCAAAAATGATGAAAGGCTCAGTGAGTTAGCTATATCCTTTGCATTATGCAAGGGCAGAGCAAGAAGATGTGTCTGTGAAACAGGAAGTGGTCCCTTACATACAGCACCACATCTGCACTCCAACCTTGGACTTTCCAGTGTCCAGAACTGTGGGAGAATAAATGCACGTTATTTATTAACCCACCAAGGCATTACAATACTTTATTATTACGGCCAGCGAATCAGACTAGGACAGTGGGAGAGAGAGACTACCTGGGAAGGAATATGAAAGGACCTTGTGACTGGGGCGTGCTGAGTAGCAGCATGCTTGCTGAACATGCATAAGGCCCTGGGTTTAACCCCTAGCCCCACTGCCTATGTGTACACATGTGTGCATTCATGCATGCGTGTGTGTGTGTGTGTGTGTGTGTGTGTGTGTGTGTGTGTGTATGTGTATGTGTGTGTGTGTGTGATGAGGGTTTGGCTTTGTTCAGTTTTGTTTGAGACAGGATGTCATTTTGTAGCCCTGGCTAGCCTCCAACTCACTGTTTGGACTCTAACCTCCAGCTCATGGTCATTTTGACTCTCAAGTATTAGAACTGCAGAAGCATGCCTGGCTGCACTTGGCTCCTAGGAAAATGGTTCTAGTTCTTCTGCTATTCTAAACATAATTTCATAATGTAACTCTTCAAATTACAAAAGTAATAATGCTGAAAGTATAAGATAACGTTAATAAAATGTTTAAAAGTTGAAACAAAATAATTTTTTTTTTTGGTTTTTGCTTTTTTTTTTTTTTTCGAGACAGGGTTTCTCTGTGTAGCTTTGCACCTTTCCTGGAACTCACTTGGTAGCCCAGGCTGGCCTCGAACTCACAGAGATCCGCCTGGCTCTGCCTCCCGAGTGCTGGGATTAAAGGCGTGCGCCACCACCGCCCGGCGAAACAAACTAATTTATATCACCCATAATTCCTCCGTCACTATCCCTTCTAGTTTATTTGTTAGAACTTGAAAGCTCGAAAACAGAAACTAACCTTACTTGGGTTCCACAAGGGAAGATGTTGATTTAGAATTTGGATATGATATATTTGTTACCAATAAGCAAGAAGTAGACAGTCATTTAAAAACAGGGAACAGAGACTGGAGAGATAGTTCAGCATTTAAGAGCGCTAGCTATTCTTCTGGAACATTGGGTCTCAACTTTCCCAATGTCTCAACCCTTTAATACAGTTCCTCATGTTGTGGTGACCCCAACCACAAAATTAGTATTTTGTTTGTTTGTTTTTTCAAGACAGGATTTCACTGTGTAGCCCTGACTCTCCTGGAACTCACTCTGTAGACCAGGCAGGTCTCAAACTCAGAGATTTGCCTGCCTTTGTCTCCCAGGTCCTGGGATTAAAGGTGTGCACCACCACCGCCCAGCCATGAAATTATTTTTGTTGCTACTTCATAACTGTAATTTTGCTACTGTTATGAATTGTAATGTAAATACCTGATATACAGGATATCTGATATGTGACTCCCGTGAAAGGGTTGTTTGATCCCAAAAGGGATCGTGACCCCCAGCTTGAGAACTTCTCGACTCTAGAGGACCTGGGTTTGATTCTCAGCACCCACACAGAGATTCACAACCACCTACTCTAGTTCCGTGAGATCTAGCACCCTCTTCTGACCCCTGTGGCCCCAGGTAGGTACTCACATACTGCACAAGTATACATGTAAACAAAACCTCCATACACATAAAAAAAAAATTAAATTAATAATTAAAAAAAAAAACAAGGAGTAGAGAGAAAGGTTTAACCGTGACATGAGCCCAATCAAGTCTTGGCCCCAGGACATGCTCTGGAGTAGATAAGATCTATCAGATCATTGCAGAATACCCAGGCCTTGTTAACTCCACCACTGTAGTCTGGGACCACTCTGAACAGCTGTGGCAAGCCCCAAAGAGCTAGGAGCTGGGAGCTGACAGCTAGACATGCTCTCCCTTGAAAATGGATCTGGGACACACACTTGTGTGTCTACTATGGTACATTTTCTTTTTTAGTTTTTACTGCATTGGGTATTCATGAAGTTTTAAAATATTTGTAGATCAAAATGCAAATTGAGTCAGGCTTTAAAGTGCTTCTGATCAAATGTACAACCCCTACCCCAAATAAGGAGCCACACAAGAATTCTGTTCTTTGAGGTGACTGAGCCTCAGGCAATAAAGCAGGAAAGATGGCGATGGAACTGGATGGGAAAGGAAGACAGAACCAAATTGAACTTAGAAGATGACACTTCATGCGGCCTGACGACTGGGAAGTCACAAAATGTCCCAGAGCAGGACACCGTGATAAACTGTGATCTGTCTTAGTGACTGTAGCAAAGACGCCAGCATCACACCCGAGCTTTAACTCACAGACCACCCTTCTCTAGCCAGACCTGAGAAAGTTGGTCTGTCTTCTTCCACTTCTAATCCGCAGTGACCCATCACCCATTCACCATGAGTAAGTTAAGGTCAAGGAATCCAACTGATCCATCTACAACACAGTTCCCTCACCTAAGGCTCGGGGATCATCTCAGAAGACGGGGCGGAATGACTGTAAGAGCCAGAGGAACAGGGTGTTTGCTGTGAGATTCTGACTCCTAGGAACGTCAGAGAAGCTACACCCATAATCTCCTCAATATGGCTGCCTAAACAAGACCTGAACACCACCACCAATACATATGCTAACATGAAAGGGGGGAAGCCCACAAGACCTCAACCCTAGACAAAGAACTACAGACAACTGGGGAATTCTGGGAGCAGGAGAAGAGCTCCAGTTGGTTATCCAATACCAAGCGGTCAGTCCTGAGATCATATACATACAGATAAATATTATACAGATTGAGCAGGTTGTATTTATGTATTTAGGAATATACATATTAGGAAAAGTGTGTTACAACAATTAAAGAAAAAAAAGCCATGAATTTGAGAGAGAACAAGGGGTAAAATGGGGGGAGGAAAGGGAAAAGGAAGTGATGCAATTATATTATAATTTCAAAAAAAGGATAAAAATATAATGGACATCAATAAGTGGTGGATCGGAAAATTTTTTTAAAAGTGTTGAAACTATTAAAACCATCCTAAGGTACTACAAACAAGAATTTCAGAGATGGTATTAGAATAAAAGAGACTTCCTAAATAACCTTAGAATACAAAGAATATTTTTAATGTCAACAAGAGAGACAATGGTTTTCCATTGAAAGAAAAGAAGAGACCCAGAAAGGTGGCTCAGCAGGCCAAGGCGCTTTCTGCCAAGCCTGATGAACCGAGTTTGATCCCAGAATCCACACAAAGGTAAATGGAGAAATTAATTCGTTCACGTTGTCCTCCGACTCCCACTTGGTGGCACACAAGTGCATGGATGCCAACACCCACATACACACATGTGCACGTGCACACACAAATAAATAAATAATTGTTTTTAAAATGTTATAAGAAAAGCAAGAGAGACTAGTCTGGAGGAGGAGTCTTGGGAGGTGACTTGGTTGGGAAAGTGCACAAGCATTTTGGATCCCCGACACCCTCATGAAATCTGGGTGCAGCCTGAAGGTACCAGAGACAGGTGGATCCCCAGATCTCATTGACCAGCCCACCTAGCCCAATCAATAAGACACAGATTCAGGAAGAGACTGACACAGTGAGGCACCATGACACTCAGGAGGCAGAGGCAGGCGGATCTCTTGAGTCTGAGGCTAGCCTGGTCTACACAGACCCTGTCTTAAAATAATGTGGAAAGCAATTGAAGTAGATACCAAATATTGACCTCTGGCCTCCACATGTATACATTCATACATGCACACATATACAAATATGAACATATCACACATAAACACATACATATCACATACACAACCACATACATGCACACACAGATACACACACAAAAAACATTTTTATGTTGGTTCTGGGGATCAAACTCAGAACCTTATGCTTTCAAGGCAAGCATTTTACAGGCCGAGCCATCTCCTCTGCCCTAGTTGCAAAATATTTTAATAATTATGCTGTAACATTTCCTGAAACAGTCTAATTCAAAGTCAATATAAAATGAGAATATAAGCCAGGTGTAGTGGCGAATGCCTTTATTCCCAGCACTCGGGAGGCAGAGGTAGACAGAGCTCTGTGAGTTCAAAGCTAAACTGGTCTGCAAAGTCAGTTCCAGGACAGCCAGGGCTACATAGTGAGAAACCCTGTCTCAAAAATACCAAAATAAATAAATACATAAATATAAAAATAAAACAAAATGAGACTGTAAAGTAAAGGAGGTTTTAAGATAAATGAGAGCTACTCGCTAAATATAGTAAAACCTCTGAGTTTGAGAGTCTGACTTTTTTAGAAATAGAGAAAGTTTATTAAGTAAGGAAAATCGGGGACTGGAGAGATGGCTCGGTGGTTAAGAGCACTGGCTGTTCTTTCAGAGGACGTGGGTTCAATTTAGAGAACCCACATGGCGGCTCCAACCATCTGTAACTGTAGTCCCAGGGGTGTTGATGCCCTCAGTGTGCAGATATGCATGCAGATAAAACACTCACATATATAAAATAAATAAATAAATTTTTGAAAGGAAGGAAGGTGGGGGAAATGACTCCCAAGGATGGGAATGGGCTAGTGACCTGTGGAAAGGCATCTACTCAAAAATCACTGGGGTCCACGAGGCTTATGACCCTCTATAAGTCATTTACATAGCACCTACCTGCCCATGTTTATACAGCCTGAGTTTCTCTTGGGCATGCCCTGTTTGTTACATGAAGCCCAGGTAGGGAGGGTTTTCCAGTCTTCTGCCACTGGCTTCTTTTAGTATTGATGTTGCTGCCTCCAGTCCCTACTCTTCCACGGCTATCCCCCTGAGAGATGTGGTCCCAAAACTCTTTTTAGGGAGCAAAAGGGTGATGCTGTGGAATAATGCTTTTGTACACTAGCTTAATAAAACGCTGATTGACCAGCAGCCAGGAAGGAAGTATAGGTGGGATAAGGAGACAAGGAGAATTCTGGGAAGAGGAAGGTTAAATCAGGAGATGCCAGCCTGCCATCCAGGGAGCAGCATGTAATGGCACACAGGTAAAGCCACAGAACATGTGGTAACATATAGATTAACAGAAATGGGCTGAGTTTAAATGTAAGAGCTAGTTAGTAGTAGGCCTGAGCTAATAGCCGAGCAGTCAAAGAAAACACTAAAACCAAAAAAAGTAGTAACACAAAACATCCAGGAAATTTGGGACACCATGAAAAGACCAAACCTAAGAATAATAGGGATAGAAGAAGGAAAAGAATGCCAACTCAAAGGCATAGAAAATATATTCAACAAAATCATAGAAGAAAACTTTCCCAACCTAAAGAAAGAAATACCAATGAAGATACAAGAAGCTTACCGAACACCAAATAGGCTGGATCCAAAAAAAGTCCTCTCATAATAATCAAAACACTAAACATACAGAACAAAGAAAAATATTAAGAGCCACAAAGGAAAAAGATCAAGTAACATATAAAGGCAGACCCATCAGAATAACACCAGACTTCTCAATAGAGACTATGAAAGCTAGGTGGTCCTGGACAAATGTTATGCAGACACTAAGAGACCACGGATGCCAACCCAGACTATTATACCCAGCAAAACTCTCAATCACCATAGACAGAGTAAACAAAATATTTCATGATAAAACCAGATTTAAACAACACCTGTCCACAAATCCAG